CAGTGTAGAAGGATTCGGGCCGAGACCCGGAACCCTCGGATGAGTCAAGTCTGCACTGCGTTTCCGGCTGCCCTCCGGGCAAGGCGCTATCCAAACTGCAGGGCCTCTTTCTTGAGCGGTCTTTGGACAGCTGGCGTTGACTTCGCCTGGGGTTCTGTTAAAAGTACCATCTCGCCCGGGTTCCAGACCTTTTGGATCGAAGTCTGCATTTTCGCAAGCTCCCCAAGGGGGATGCCTATGCCCATGAAAGTGTGAACATGCACCGTTGTTAGGATTTTTAGCCAAGAAAAGTGTTAATCACAGGTTGAGTGGAAGGGAAATGTTAGAAAGAGCACAATCCAACCCAAGTGCTAATGTCACAGAAGTATGCTCTGAAGTGCTAGGGTGTGGGCATTTTGTTTCTCCTTAATGTAAGGGTGACAGGTTTAGTAAATAATATATAACTTAATTGGTTATTTATTTGAACTGCACACCTTGCTTAATGCCCTATTCGCTTTTATTTTAATCTAGAGATCCTGGTTTGATGATTCCCAGTTTCTTCTCGGGCCACTACAATGGACTAGTCAGGGCAACAGTGTAGAACTAGGAACTTGAAGCTGTGTAATTTAAACATGAATGCTAGTTCTTCTTTAAAGAGAGATGCCCTTAGCCAATATTTACTCAATGCTAAGGCCACTCAAGTGATGAATCACAGCAGTCATTAACAGTGATGTTTGTGGAATGAATCAGGTCTAGTCTTAAGGTGGAGTGCAAATTCTTTGTGGCCAAGTGGCCTTAAGCAGGACACTAACTTCTAGCCTAAATTTGTTTATCTTCTGTCCCAGCTAGTTTTATGCCAGTCTGACACAAGATAGAGTAATTTGGAAAGATGAGCTCTGAACCGTCATAAGATTTGTCTGTAGGCGAGTCTGTAGGGCATTTTCTTAACTACTGATCGATGGGGGAGGGCCCAGCACATTGCAAGTGGTGTCATCACTGGGCAGGTGGTCCTGGGTGCTATAAGAAAGCAGGCTGAGCAAGACTCACTGCAGCATCCCTCCATGGGTTCTCTATTAGTTCCTGCTTCCCGACTCTTGTCTTGAGTTCCTGTCCTGACTCCCCTGGATGATGGACTGTGATATGAGGTGTAATCGGTAAAAATCCTTTCCTCCCCAAGTTGCTGTTGGTCATGATGTTTTAACCCAAGAATGGAAAGCCTAACTTAGACACTGTCTAAATGGTAAATAATAATAATAATAATAATAATAATAATAATAATAATAATAATAATAATAATAACCATGTTAAATTAGTGAGGATTTTGCACCAGAATGTGCTTTGTGAACTTTAGCATTCTTACTCATCCTTAGAGCTCACGTTCTAAGTTAGTAAGCCACAGTACTGAACCATTGTTTGTGGTATCTTGGAGGTGGGTGCTCTCCAGTATCCGGTCTTTCCAAAAGACACTTGTCACCTGGCCCTGGGCTCTTCAGTGGCTCAGTTGGAGCCCTTTACGAAGCCCTCCCCCAAGGAGTTTCTTGATAGCTCTGCACTAAGCTGCTCTCCCAAGGTGGGAGAATTTCTTAATCCGCAGGCTCTAGGACTACTCGGAAAGGCTGGATCCGGCGGTCTGACCCAACACCACACCGAAGCACTAGACTGTTGCAGCGCCATTGGTTGGAGAGGAGCCTGATGGACAGCACTACCAGCCAATGGAAGAGAGCTCTTCCAAAGCAGCCGCCTTATCAGAGCCAATCACGTTGGGATGGGGCTTTAACTCTTTAAAGGAGAGTTCTCAGTGTGTGGGAAAGTTGGTAGTAAAAGTGCCACGTCTTCTTGGGAGGGTTGAGGGAGTCCTGAACTTACCCGAGGCCGGCGTCGCTTTCGGCACATTTTAACTCTATGAAGTCGGGGGCCCTTTCTCTGCTTTGGTAACATGAGGTTTTTCTTGTGGAATGCGATCTTGACACTGGGGGTCATGGCTGTGAGTGCAGCTTTGATCCCGGAGCCAGAAGTGAAGATCGAAGTTCTCCAGAAGCCATTCATCTGCCATCGCAAGACCAAGGGAGGGGACCTGATGTTGGTCCACTACGAGGGCTATTTAGAAAAGGACGGCTCCCTGTTTCACTCCACGTAAGTAATTATGCCTCGTAGGCAGAACGGTAAAGGACCCACCCAGTCACACCAGCCCTCCTCTTGTAAAGCTAACAGTTCCTTTACCTCAGAAAACAGAAAAAACTGAAACACCTGCTTACCTTTGGAAGAAAAAATTGTCAAAAGCCAGTTCTAGAGAACAAGGCCTTGAAAGAATTTTCTGGAAACATGTAGTCTTCGTAAGTTAATTTCCTTTAACTTTATTCTTTATAAAATTAGATCTAGAATATTTGAAGTTTTACAGAAATACTTAGGTTATAATTAAGCAGTAAGTAGAAAAGGCTTAACAGAATTTTCTATCTCAAACTCCATTCCTTAGGTAAAAATACCTGATTCCACTTTTAATTGGGCATAAGAAATACTAAAATGTGTCATTTTGCTTCAAGAGCAAAATGCACAATCATCTATTTGCCCGCTTCTAAAAGATGCACAAATGCTGTTTCATTGACCTGTTTAACTTTCTGGCAGGTGGCATTTTGGTCAAAGCACAGGATGGTGATTTCAGGAGTCATTCCTTTCTTCTAGAAACTCAGGCTTCATTGATGGAGTAGGTGTGGTTATAGAAGTCATAGTGGGAGGATTTCCAGGTGCTTTGCGCTAGCATTTCTTTTCCAAAAACAAAGAAAGGCGGCAGGTAATGTTCACAGGTGTAATGATTTCCATTCTGAAAGTATTTAACGAGCACTTCCTTAGGGACGTTCAGAAAGTTCACCTTCTAACCATCTGCATCCATCCATTCATCCAGCCTGTAAACACTCACTAAAAGATGCATTTCAGGTCCCGGAGATGCAAAGTTTGCTAAAAACAAGTTCTGGTCCTCCCGCAGTACTCCATGTGTAGGGAGGGGGAGATAGGAAAGGACTCAGTTGGTGAGAGTGCAGATGTTGAGAGCACTGGCAAAGTGTGGGGAGCCTGTAGTTAGTTGTGCTGAGGGGGGAGGGTAATAGACCAGCATTAGCATTCAGAACAGAAGAATAGCTGGGAAAATGATGAGTGGAGATTATCATGGCAGAGCTGGAGGAGGACTTTGCAAATGAGGGAATCATATGAGCTAAGCCCCAAGCTTTAACTCACCTTAGGTCCTTATATTTGTTTTGTTTTAATAAACTGCTTTGAGATATGGTCTTCTGTGAGGCCTGTGGGTAGTGAATGGCACTTCTCTCTGAACACTGTTCTGGTAAAAGTTTCTGGAAACAGATTGCCATCACTTTGTCCTTGCCAGTAAGGCCAGGGCACAGCAGTTAGTCACCGATACTGTGACATTGCACTTCAAAATTTCAGTTATGTCCTTGCTTTCAGTCTGACCTCTTTCCTGTCTAGCCTAATTTCTTTCCCATCTCAGGGCCAACAACCTGTGCAGATACTCTGTAGCAGTTCACTGCTAATGTTCTGGTACTTGGGGAGGGGACTGTTGTCATACAGCCATTGATGTAAAGTCTTAGGCCTGTCTTTCCGGGTATAACTGGTGTATCTAATGGAGAAATACCATTAAATAAGCCTCCGAAGAGTGTTTTGTGTTGCCAGAACCATCATCCGTGTGATGACTGGCTTAGCTGTAATAAATGTGGTCACATGATTGCGGCTTCTCCATTCTTTTTGCCCCATGATCATGAAGGCACATGCAGTGCCACTTACCCAGAAGGAATGCCATTCACCCAGATTTCGTAACCATGGTACCCATAAACTTAGCACAGGGACATTTTACTCACACCAAAAAGTTATCCTGAAATAAAACACTTTCCTTGCTCTCTAGTAGTTGAACTAAGCTGGTCTCTCGGGATGCTAGGACATCTTCCTGTTCCTTTCCTTTCCAGAACTTGAGGGGCTACTGCTCCAGGATTTTCTGAGTAGCCCCATCGTAGATCTTTGGAGAGGATCTGGGTGTTAGTGGAGATTTAAGGGGAAAGCAGCCTTTTCCATGCATCGGAACCATCAGTCAACTGGCCATCACGAAGGCTTGTAGACAGGAAGGAAGATATATCAGGGCTGGAGAGATGCCTCAGTGGTTAAGAGCACTGGCTGCTCTTTTAGAGGATTGGGGTTCAATTCCCAGCACTCACATGACAGCTCACAACTGTCTGTAACTCCAGTTCCAGGAGTTCTGACACCTTCATACTAATGCACATAAAATAAATTTAAATAGATTTAAAAAGAAAGAACGGACTAATTACTTTGTAAAAAAAATTAAAAAAAAAGAAAAGAAAAGAATAAAAGATACTCCTGTCTCTGTGTCTGGGTGCAAATGGACTTTCATGTTTTAGCAGTAATTCTCCTAGCCTTTTATCTTCCTTCTCAAATTCAAGACATTTCCTGAATTTTTCCTTGGTCTGTAGCCCTTATGGGAAAATATAACTTTGTCATTAAGACCTTGAACTGAGGAGTTAGGTATATCTGAAGTCAAATGCTTGTACACTTAACCTCCATTTTCTCTGTACAAAGAGTTAATACTAGATTAGCTGGCCCTCTGTCTGCAGGTTCTGTGTCCCTTAATTCAAATTAAGTATAGATCTAGAATATTTGAAATGTGTGTGTGTGTGTGTGTGTGTGTGTGTGTGTGT